AATTTCATTTTTACTGCAGCTGCTTCCATTCCCAACCAATGCCTCTCTATTGTAATCCGCTAAAATTGGGTCGGATGAGGTCTTCTCGGATAGGATACAAGTTGAAAGGTTTATTTTTCAAGTTAAATTCGGTCGAAAATCTAATCAGAGCACGATCATTCCTAATAATGTAATGTTTTACAGCAAAAAATAACTTTTAGGAGAATGTTTTAAAGGACGACATTCTAATTTAGAGCATAATTTAAGACTAAAGAACAGTAAAAAAAACGCAACCAAAAAATTTTATAAAAAATATAACATTTTCGATTGTAGACTATCTTCATAATATTTTTTGGTAGACTAAAAATGTTTAAAAATTAATATTTATATTGTGTTCAACCGAAAATATTATATTTTTATAATATATTTATTACGTACATTGCTTGTTGTTACTTAACTTTAAACTATACTATCGTATAGTATGATTTCTGTCTTTGAGTTCACCAAATAACTAAGAAAAGATCTCATTACAAAACCCTGTTGGAGAAACTAAAGATGACAATGGATCTGGGGTCACCTCGCTGTCAAAAGATACACAAATCTTTGTCTGAGAGAGCAGACATGGCAGCAGCAGGGAGACAACCAAGTTTCAAAGATTTTGGTACATGGCTAACCCTCTCTCCCTGGGAAAAAAAACACAACAAAAACTGCAATTTGTCCTTTCTTTTCTTCTTTTTCCTCCGGCCATGTAAAAGGACTCTCGAGGCCCAAAATTGCAATTAATTTTCACCGTTAAAAAAAAATTGCAATAAAACAAGACAACTCATCCACGATACTTTTGAGAGCTTAGCCTTCCAAAGGACCACCACCTTATTACTTAAGGATGGTAGACAAGTATAATTTTGTGGGTTTTATATTGTATTTGCTCTAATTGCGGTGAGGATGAATATAAGTTTGATGGGTAGTATGCAAGTATAGATGTAAAAAATCAAACCCGTCGTGGGTAGTGAGTAGCGGGTAGGAGATGGGTCTGAGACCTTACCCGCCCCCAGAGCTGTCTCGGAGAAAAAAATTTATTAATAAATCATAAAAAATATTTAACATTATCAAATACATTATTTTATTAAAATAATACAACTAAAATAATAAGAGGCATTCACTAACTTTCAAGATTGTCACTTGAAAAAAGTCACCCTCCGAGCATTCTTTGAAGCAAATTCATCAATCAAATCCTCATAAGCAATTTTACCTAAAATTTCATTCTCGATTGCCACCAAAGCTAGGCCATTAAGCCTTTCTTGTGATATAGAACTACGCAAGTATGATTTGAGCAATTTTAACTTTGAAAAACTTCTTTCGGCTGTTGCAACTGTCACTTGAATAGTTAACAATATCATATATGCAATAATTGCATTAGAAAAACAATCAACATGCTTCAAAAACTTTAAAATATCAAGAGGCCCCAATTTTTTTAGGCAAAAATTCTTGAAGTACCTTCAACTCCACATATGTCATAACTATGAATATCACATTTATCAACATTCTTGAGTACATTTTCTAAACGACAACAACAAGATTTTAAACTCAGATCATCTAGTGAATGCAAATTGTCAGAAGAAAATAGAAAACCAAACACATTTTCATATTGTTCATATTGTTCAAACCTCCTATCAAGTGAAACAATTGCTTGATCAATGATGCAATTAAAATAATTAATTCAAAAAGACTCTTCCGCATATTGTGGACTCGTTATTTAAATTCTCATCAAACTATCTTTTCTTTACATTTGACGCTTTTGAGGGAAAATGAATCAATTTCCATATCAATTGCAAGTTTCTTAGCAACTTCAAGAGCATTAGAAAAACCATTCTCTTTATACTCCTTAAAAAATAAAATTAATTTTTTCACATTTTCAATGGCAACAGAAATAAGTATATCTTTCGATTGTAACTTTTTACAAACCAAATTGACATCATGTAACAAATCATACCAAATGACTATAGCCATTATAAGCTCAAAATCACCAAGCACATTATTAGTTAAAGATTTAGCTTCACTTCTTATTTTAAAATCTTTATCACTATTAGCAACTTCAAGCAAAGCCTCTCTTATATCTGAAATTTGAAATCTTATTGCTTTTACACTATCAACACGACTCTCCCAACGAATAAAAGATAATAATTTAGGAGTTAAGTCTTTCACATTTTCTTTTAAATTTTGCCATCTTTTTGTAGAATTTGCAAATATAGTGTAAATGCGTTGTATAACACCAAAAAAGTCCATAGCTTTTCCAGAATGTAAAAAGCTCTAGGATTTAAATCTAAAAGTTTTCTTTGCACTCCTTGATTTTTTTTTCCTTTCATATTTGACCTGTTATCATAGCTTTGTCCACGCACATCTAAATAAAGGTCAAGAACATTCAATTCATGTAAAAATAATAAAAAAGACCTTGTCCAGTTGTGTCATTCACATTAAAAAAATCCTAAAAATGATTCTTCTATGCTAACACAATCAGAAGAAACATCCACATACCTCAAAATCAAAGACATTTGCTCTTGGTGACTAATATCAGGAGTACAATCAAGTATGGCAAAAAATATTTAACCTCTTTTATTTTTTTAACAATTTCAAATTTAATTGCACAAGCAAGTAAAAGAATCAACTCATTTTGGATGTTGTGACCAAGGTAATTAACATGTATCTTATCATTAGTAATACGACGAAAATGCTCCTGAATAATAGGATCAAACTCAACTAACATTTCAATTAATCCTCAAAAAAATTCATTACTATTTTGATACAATTTCTCATTAGTACCACAAAATGCTAGATTATGTTTTACAAGAAACTTCACAATTGAAATAATTCTCAATAAGACATTTTTCCAATGTTCTTTCTCTTTTTAAAGTTGTTTTTGAGCTATTTTATCAATAGTTATGTTCTTTTTAAGTCTTAAATGCAAATCATACCAAGTGGCCATATTTTGTACATGTTCTATACTGGTTTCATGCTCTCTAATTCTAACACAAAGATGTTTCCAATCACTATATATGTCATTTGCTAATTGACCTTTACCACATCATTTCTTAAATAATTTACAACAAAAACAAAAAATTCTATCAAGTTCTTTTGAATATACAAGTCAATCTCTATCACATTTTCCTCATTTGATAGTAATTCTAGTGTAAAATGAGGTAGAAAATTGTCTTCAAATTTTATCTTTAACACCTTTTACGATAGATAAATCTCTTTTAGGACCATTTATCGCTAAAATGTCAATCATTTGAGAATCTAAAGCATCCCAATTTCTTGGATCAAATATGTTAAACTTATGACATGCAATATCATCAAAAGCATTAACATTATCAACATCAACATTATTAGCCTTATCAATATCAACTATATCAACTTCAACATGCTCAACATTTAAAGGTCCAACATCATCATCAAAGACATTTTTCTCATTTACTTGCATATCCTCATCACCATGTTCATTATTATTATTATTTAAATGCACATTATCATCAATATTAACATTGTTATCATCAACATTATTAATATTAAATCACCAACATTAACAATATTTTCATTTTCGGACACATGTGATTCATTAATAAAAAATTATCAAGTGCTCCTCTTTTGGATTGAGTTAACTCATTGATTCTTTTTTTTCTTTATACGCTTTTCACATCGAGAGTTATAGTTTCTTTTATGAAGCATAATTAGATAATTAGAAATTGTAGGTAAAGAATTAAAAATGAAATAAAAAATAATCAATCATACAAACATAATCACCACACATATATCCTAAACGGCTAGGCTAGTAGTTGTAATATGTAAAACATAATTTTTCAAGAATAATTGAATAATTAATTGGCAAGAGTATGAGCAACACAAGCTGATTTTTTAGTCGAATAATTTCGGAAATTGGATTTTCTTCCCAATCCTTGAGACCTTGTTCTTCCAAAAAGTAACAAATCCAAAAGCTCAAAAACCCCAATGTTCTTTTTTTCTTGAATTTGAATGAATTGAATCATGGGTATGGTACGAAAAAGAATACTTAAAGAATATTTAATAAATTGAATAGGAAAAATTAAAGAATTTTCAATAAATTGAAGAATGAATTAATATTCGAGAAGAAGAAGTAAATTTTTTTAAATAAATTGAAGAATGTGATTTGAAAAATAGGGATATATAGTTGTATTTGATTTGAAATTTAATAAATAAAAGAAGAGGAGTTTAATAATGGGAAATTGAAAATATTAAATTCCCCTTTATGTTAAAAATTGATAGGATTTGGAAAATAGGAATATGTATGGAGTAAATAATTTAGTTGTTAAAATTAAAAGTGAGCACCATCCCCCTAACTATGGATGGAAAACGGCCGGGTCGGGTGCGGATACCCCCTCCCCCATCCCCATACCCACCTAATATTTTTCAATCCACCACCCGCCCACCACCCATGATGGGTACAAATTTTCAAATCCACACCCGCCCATGCGGGTACATTCTCAAATCCATCCCCACACCCACTACCCACTAGCGACGTACCCGTCTAGACCCGCCTGAAAGCAAACTTAAGTTATACATAAGCAACAAACATAAAAAAACATGTCCATTAAGAAATATAATAAAATAATCCAAGGATTATCTGAGTTAAGTGTTAATATAGATCTTAAAGTACATAAAACACCACAATAAAATACATAATTAAAGTTTGGAAACATAAATGACAAACACATAATGTTTTTGTTCTTTGGCACAACATTCTAAAATTTCAGGCAATACTTATGACATCTGATACTCCAGTATTGCAATCATCATTCTCTATTTCCTCCAATTGAGAGCGCTCCAATTTAAATTCACTACTACCTACATATATAATAGAAAGTAAAACTAATATAAGTTAGTAACTAAACTTTAATAAGATAATTAAGCACAACTTGACAACTAATATAAACCAAATAATAATATTACCTTTAATATCGACCCAAAGCCAATTCTGAGCACACATTAAAGCTTCAATCGTCTCCGGAAGTAGTAGACTGCGATAAGGACCAATTACTCTTCCACCTGCACTGAATGCATATTCTGATGGGACAATAGAGACATGAATGCTCAAAATATCCTTTTCTATTTGTTGGAGAGTTGGATAACTATTTCCATTTGTTTTCCACCAGTTAAGAATATCAAAATCATCAACAAATGGTATATTAGCAGTTTCTAAGTACCTGTCCAAATCAGATTTTTTAGAAATTGCAGTATTATTTTGCTCTACAAATTCAGCAAACTCGTTCAACATTGTTCCTTTGCCCTTGGTACTGAAAAAACCAACAGATTTGGTTTTACTTTTACTTGCTTGGTTCTTACCATTTCTATATTCATATTCATCCACAAATTCATGTAGAAGACCTTCAATTCTATCAATCTCAGCTTGAACAGTAAAAGAGTCATAATTTTTTTCAAAATAGAAACGAATCAATTTCAGCTTGAACCTCGGATCAAGTATAGTGGCCACACCCATAAGACCATTAACATCAGCCCAATACTTGTTGTACTTCTCCAACATTACTAGCACCATCTTTCTTATATAATCACAAGGTGATGAAAGCCAATTCGACATTGCTATTCTAAGCCCACAAATACATGGAAAATAATTGTTTGCCGTGGGATATTTAGAGGCAGAAAATACAAGTGTAATATCGTTAAACACTTCCAATAATTCACAAATTTTCTCCACCTTTTCCCAATCTTCATTAAGTGGCAGATTCTTAAACAAACTTTCACGACCACTCAAGACAACAAATACCTCCTTATAATTTAAAGCAACCATAAGCATGTCATAAGTCGAATTCCACCTAGTCTTGCAATCAAGTTGTAACTTTTTTGTACATTCAGGAACCACTTGCTTAGCTACTTGTTCAAATTTATGATTTCTTTTATCTGAAGCAGTCTAAAAGGCAAAACTATCCCTAATTCAATCAAGACCATTTTTTATCACAACACTCAACCCATCTTGAACAATCAAATTAAGTATATGAGCACAACAACGCATATGAAGAAAACGTCCATGCAACATTAACGAGCCATAAGGAAACTCTTGACGCAAAATATCAATCATAGCATCATTAGTTGTGCAATTATCCACAGTTATAGAAGACAACCTGATATCAATATTCCATGAGTGGATGCATTCTTTCAAATGTTCAGCAAGAACCTCAGCCGTGTGAGGTGCCAGGACATACAAAAACCTATCATATTAATGTGACATGCATTAACACATGAAATAAAGAAAATTGAAACTTCATAAATGAACAAACTTCTAAATAATATTACCTAAGTGTTCGACTTTGGAGTTTCCATCCATTGTCAATAAAGTGTGCAGTGACAGTCATGTATCCCTTTCTTTGATTGCTTGAGGTGTAACACCCCAATTTAGGGGCTAAAATTAAGAAATTATAAAGTGGTGGATTTAATTAGTATTTTGAAAGAAACAGTGGATTAAATTGTAAGACTTCAAAGTTGGCAGACCGTTTTAAGAAGTGCAAGAAGTTCAGTGACTAAACTCTTGGTTTAGCCAATTTCCTATAGGAGAGAATTATAAACTCTCCCCCGTGCGCAGAAACATAAAATTTTTCAGTTTTCCCTCTCCAACAACCCAACTTCCAACTCCGATCTACTCGCCGTCCGACCTCCAAACGACGAGGCGAAACCACCATCGTGTTCGTTGTCAATCGAGGAACAAAACCCCTCAAACATTTCGTCGTGAATCATCGTCGTTCGTCGTGAATTTCAGTCGGAAGTATCGTCAGTAATAACTCGATTTTAGTTGGTTTTTCATCTATTCACGACGATCGGGTCATCCGTTTACGACACCTCCCGCACCATCGTGTTCGTTGCATCGTTCCGAGTTTGCCGGTGTCATCCTTGGTCTCCGTCGACGGCGGCGCGTAAGGAGGTGAAGCGGTCAAAGTTTCCGATTTGTTGAAATCCAGCTCTCCGTCGTACAAAATTGTGAACCGAGCTTTGTAAGTATCTCGAAATCGCTCAAAATAATTTTTAGAAATTTTTCCGGGATTTTAGCACTGTTCACGCGCCCCCACGCGCCGCCACTGCGCGTGGGGAAGGAAAAAGTGACCGGTTTGACCGGTTTTGGAACTGTTTTGACAAGTTTGACCGGTCATAACCCGACCCGACCTGACCCATTTACCTGACCCGTTGACCCGTTGACCGGCGTTGACCACTGTTGACCAAAACTTTGACTGGCTTTGACCGGGCATTAAACGACCTTTGACTTCGACCGAGTATACCTATCCTGACATTTTTCGACGTTCCAAATCCTATTCCGCTGTTTGTTTTTCGAAATTCGAACCCGAAGACCTCGAAATTGCCGATCAAACCCGTTGACTTTGATTTTGACCAAAAATTCCAAATTTCCAAAAAGTCATATTTTATGCTTTCGACGTCCTGAATCCGAATCCGAAGTCCGTTTCACCAAATTCGAACCCGGTAAGCCGTCTTTCACTGATTTATCACCCGATTCGATCTGTTTATCGTAATTATGCTCCGTTTCTGATATAATTTATATTGATATGTATCTGAGGAATTATTGGAAGTTGAATTGAAGATCAAAGGCGTTCGAATGGAATTTTTATGGTCGATCAGTATTGCACGGAAATCGAGGTAATACTTTACTACCTCTTTATGCTTTATGGAACATGTTGATATTGGTAAATGCATGAATAAGATAATGTTGGTCACTTTGGTGGAGTTAAATAATTTATACACTCGATATGAATGTGGTAGAAATTCTGTAACTGATTACGGATCGAATGACTAATATAAGAGATTGAGGAATTGTTAGATTAAATTACAAGTTTGTGATTGGTGATAAAGAAATCAGCCATGTATCTGCAACTTATAATTTATTTCATCAAAGGTTAAATATTAAAGGTACTTGGATGAGAAATTATGAGAATACTCCGGTAGGGTAAAATTACGAAAATACCCTTATGTTATAAAAAGACAAGATTTGAATATGGAAGTTAGGTAAGAGGATTTTACAGACATATTGATCTAATAAAAATATTGATGTGCATAAGAAATGTTAGTTTTATTTGGAAATTATGGATAACCGATTTTAATCCTAGGAGAGTTTGTGAAGGATATTAGAAGTCTGTTAAGAGAACCGTTTCAAGATCAGAGAGTGTTCAAGAAAGCAATTAATCATAGGATCTCTAAATTATATTATTTTCGTTAAGAGCTAATATCAAACTTATCTGGTTAAGAAATTACGGAAATGCCCTTAAGAGGTAGAATAGTCTGAGATGACTCTAAATGAGAAAATACTTAGAGGATTCGTACTTGACTCGATTAAGTACGGATTTAATTGTTAAGATCCCGACTTAGTGCAGGAAAATTCCTGATATTCCGTTTGTAAAATCTGAGAAGACATTTGACCCGAAAATATTCGAAATAATGAGTAAATACTTGAAAAGTAATTTATCGGAGGTATTCTGCTGTCAGAATTGTTCGAAATGACTGAAGTAAATGATAAGATTGAATTAAATAATAAGATCGGATGACAGGAAAAGATTGAAATATCGTAGATCTGTAAAATGACAAAAATACCCCTGTAATGGAAATGACCTAAGAATATCACCAAGCTCAGGAATGATTGGATATCCTCGAGCTCTAGAATGAATGGAATAAAACTGAACACCAAAATACCCTCATGACCTATACCAAGTAAATGCCTTAGATTAATTAAGGAATCCAAATAAGCATAGGTATTGGCCTACCTTTAAAAGTAATGGAACACAATTTAAGTGAGTAGATTAACCCTAGAGCTATGTCAATACCTGAATGGCATAAATATTACTGGAATGCGTGTTCGTCTTCTTAAGTTTGACTCGATGATAAATTTTGGAAGTATTCAACTTAGTTCAACTCTGGATCACATTCAGTACTAAGAATTAGACGTTTGTTCGACAAATCAACCACGAAGACCAAATTGAATGGAACGGAAGTGCAACATGTGTCTAAAAATCAGGAACGCTTGAATTACTCTGGAAAATCGTGAAGTATCTGGAATGGACTTGAATGCTAAATAAATTAAGTAACCACAAGGACTGAGGATTGAATAAGTGAGTTGGATAAGTCTGGAAACTTTGATGAGTTTACGTAGTGTACAATTACAATGGGTTATGAACAAATTAATCAAGTACGTCAGTATTTCATGATATGGTGAAAGAGTGAACATGAAATAAAGACATTGGAAGATTTATTCAATGTTAATTTCGAAAATGATATAAGAACAAGAATTTGTGGTATTAAAGAGTAAATACCCTGGAAGAAAAATGAATTCACCAGTCAACATAGATTGTTAAGGTTCTGAATCTTCGTTGTTAAGTTGTTCGATTATCCGCTCAATTGATATGGATGTAAAAGATCCTGAATACCCTTCTGATTACGTACAACTTCTGAAAACGGTCCGAATAAGATATGATCCTGATAATTCACATTCTGAATAACTGATGATTCCGTCAGTTATTGAACTTTTCCAACAGTGATTCTAAATTCTGACATTCTATCGGTATACTGAAGATCCATGTTTCTCTACTTGCTAAGATTATCCAGTACCTCCGAATAATAATTGTAAACTCTGGTGTGTTCCTTAATCATATAATTATTTTATCTGATTTTCGACTTGAATTCTGTTCTGATACATGACCTGAATTCTGTTCTGATTTCTGATATGGATTCTGTTCTAATATCTGTTCTGAATTCTGTTTTGATTTCTGATATCTCCGTTTAATGACAGAAAAAATGTTTTAATTGGGGGGTATTGTTGAAGGAAGAATTTTCGTAGGTTCCTCGGCTTTGTGCTCAGGGCCTTATATGTTGTGTTGGGTTGGGTGTATGGTTCTGGGGAACCTACACATTATGTTGTATTGGGATGGGATGGGGGTATATATATATATATATATATATATGTTTTAAAAAGATCTGAAAAGTTACATGGTTTTTGGGAATACACTAGAAAACCTATTCTGATCTCCTGAACCTAGACATCCGAAATATTTCCATCTGGAATGAATACTATTTGTTACTACCTGAAATATCCGCAGAATCTCTGCTCAGTATAAAGATATGTAAATGTTTGAATCGATAAGGAAAAATATGTTTATTTGTATCTGCACGTTCTTCAGCATCATCCGGTAGTTCTGTATTACTGAGTTTTCCAAAGCTCACTCTATTACTCACCTTTTCAGGTTAAAAGAATTGTACCAGTGCATCTATCGACTTCAGTAAGGGAGTTCGTCCGGCGTTGTTGCAGAGTATGGTACATGTGATTAGGGGGCATGTAATTGTATTTTGATTTATATACGTGTTTGGAAATCTGTTTTATTTTTAAATAGTGAAAATTGATTTTATAAGTTTACATGTTCTGATAAAAAGTTTTAAATTTTCCGCTATTTTTACAGTGGGTCGCTCCGGTGGCCCTAATGTGACACCCCGGATCGGATCGGGATACCCGCATTGGTCTGTGGGGGTTATATGAGGTCCACATGTCAGTGGTCAAGGCGATCCTACTATTCATTTTTCTCAACAATGCACTTATGCCCTCTTTTTTAGTCTCATATATTTGCATGATATCTTTCTTGGTTGTATTACAACACGGAACTTTAAAGCCTGGTTGAAGTGTATTGGAGTACTTCCTAAATCCATAATATTCAACAATGGTAAGAGGGTATTCATGCAAAATGATCATTTCTGCCAAGTCTTTTCTCTATTTTCCTTGGTGGAATTCATATGGTGCCAAAGAAAGAGTGTCATTCGAACCACCATCTTTAGCTTGTGTTCCAAATAGCCTTGTTTGTCGAATATCTAAGCATTTTCTTTTTGACACATTTATTTGCATGCTCGGTTAAGTGACTTGTCCCCGCTCTTGGTCCTCCAGTAAGTTGCTTATTGTAGTAGTTACATTCAACTTTTATTTCCTTCCCAACTCGTTTTCTTGTAAAGTGAGTCCAAGGTGTTGATGTATACCTCGAAGTTAAGGGAATGACCATAGGATCTGCATCATCGGTTTGCTTTGGACTTTTGTCACCATAGTCAGAAGTTGGGGTAGAACTTGCTGTAGTGGTTGGCTTTGAGATTGATGGTGATGAGGTGGTTGTAGTATTGTGTTGTTCACTTTTGTCTGTCATTATGTATTCTGTAATTACAATTACAATAAAACATGTTATATAAGATACATAAAACAAGGGAAAACTAAAATCAAACACATTCCTGATCGCCAAAGCTTTGCAAGCACTACCTCAACAAAAATAAACTATTATTTGTCTAACATATACAATCTATGTCAACCCTATTCTTGTAGTTAAGGGTAATACGCAAAATCATACATGATACACCCAAAAAATTGATCTTAATTTTTTTTAGTAATTATAGGTCTGTAGAGGTATCAGCTTCTTAAATCATGCTCAACTTCTTAGGAATCTGTTGCTATACTGTAATTTCAGTTCATCAGTATGTAAGTGTAGGCACTGTTTAAAAATGTCGCACATGTCTAACTCCTTTTGATACTGTTTTTTTAATTGTTTTCTTTTAGTTGTAAGCTTTCATATAGTGAGCCCGTTTTGATTTATATTTTCAAATGGCTTCATTTGCTTTATGTTGCTTAATTTGTTGAGTTTCTCTTTTTTGTCGTGGTTTGTTGATTTGGTTATTTAATGGGGTCCTGCTTTCCCTGTTGCTCTTCTTTCTTAAATATCTTGTTCTTGTATGAAATGTTTCCAAGTTTCAATAGTTCAGTTTCTGTGTGGTTTTATGTTGCAATCAGAGGATGTTTTGTTGCTAGTCACAGTGCCGAAAGGAAAAACTAGAAACCTGCCTTGTGATTTTGTTTGAATACCCAGTCCATTATAAACATATGAAGCATTCTAGATGTCTGTTTCAAAAGTGTTTCTTCTGAATAGAGTGAATGGATTTCTTAAGGGGGAAATTATAAAAGGTGAAAATTAAGAAAAAGGGATTGTAGATCTTTTTCCTTTTATTTCTGAGTGAAGGGTTATGAAGTGTTTGACTTTGGACTGCTCATGAAAAAAGAACAAACAAGTAATTACTTAACAAAAATGTAGGAAATTTGAGTCACAAAAAAAAAGAAAGGAAAGCCCAAAAGTACATGAAAAGATTAGCTAAATTTATATGCAACTTAATCAACAAAAGCAATTAACTTACACTGACTGCAACTCACTAAGATTCCCAATCAATGGAGATAAAATTCCAGACAAGCTTTGACTAGGAAGGCCCTTGGTCAAGGTAGAAAAGATAGGAGTTTACACAAATATTAGTTTATTTCCTACCAGTGTGAAGTGCTATTAGAAATAGGCCATTATGAAGAGAGAATTACAAAGCAGAAACATAGCCATCTGGAGAGCAAGTAATTAATGGTTCTTGATATATGAAAAACCAACGAAAACAAAGCAAAAAATGGAACAGAAAGGAAACGTACCTGAAGAGTGGAGACTAGGAAAGATCGGTGCAGTAACAAGATTAAGACTATAGAAGAGATCATATTAAGACTAAATATCCCTAATATTTGGTTAAATTACATGTTATATCTTATACAATATTAGAATTTATAAATTAGTCTCTAAAATTACACCTAAATTTATAATGGTCCAAAATTTAATAGATATTTAGCTGGGCAGCGGATGCGGGGCGGGCAATTGCGAGGTGGATGCGGGGCGGGTAATGACTCAAACCCATTACCCGCCCACTACCCCACGACGGTATCAACTTCTAAATCCACACCCGCCCACTACTCACTAAAATTATACCAATCTCCGCTCCAATTGGAGCGGATGCGATGCGGAATCTACGAAACTGCACCTGTTTACCATCCCTACCCTTGACTAATTAAATATTATAAATTAATATTATATATTACCGTTTACTTTTAGGATTGAAAGTTAAAGTGAGCCCATAACTAATTAAATGTTGTTAATTTATATTTTATATATATTACCGTTTATTTGAGTGAGTTAAAAGTGGGCCATATTACATATTACTTTCATATTTGGGAAACTAAAAAATTGTTTTGTTTTCTAATAGGAAACTAAAAGCTAACTCTAAGGCATGGTTTTCATAATCGGGTCGGTTAGCGAATCGGTCATGTTATCGGTTTACTGGTTTAATCGGTTCGATCGGTCGGAAGAACCGGACGACGTCATAATTATTTAAAAAATTAAATAAAAATATCAAAAATATTTAATAAAAAATAATTTTTTATATCACAATTCATATTCAAAACAAGTCATTCATATTCAAAGCAAGTCAAACATATAAGTTAAAAACCATAAAATCAAGTTAAACAAAATGATTCAAATTAACTACAACATAATATTTAAGGTAAAACATATTAAATAATAAATATAATTATATAACTATAATTAAAAAATAAATTTGGGGCTAAAAAAATCATAACAAAATGATATTGTTTGATTTAATTTTTTTTAAAAACAATCCCACATGACTAAGAAACATAGAAGATCATCCCAACTAACTTCTATAAATAATAGAGTTAATTTGACATTCAAAATCATAGAGCCTTTTGGTAAGCATTGAGTGAACTATTCTTTCACTTCAATCAAGCTCGAATTTTAGGCTTCAATCGAGCTTCTAATTTTTTTTTGAGTTCAAACCTTTTCGAGTTCAAGTTTCAATATTATATTTTGAGTTCGAGTTAAACTTCATAATTTTTAGCTCGTGAGTTTGAATCGAGTTGAGCTTACTTTTAAATTTTTCAAGTTCGAGTCGAGCTTAGCAATACTCGAGTTCGACTTGGCTCATTTAACAAACGACGTCGTTTGGTTTAATTTAAAAAAAACAAAATTGACGGTTTTTCCCGATTTTCAGCCGGTTCGGTTTGAACGGTTTAGCGGTTCTGGCCGGTTCACTAGTAGCGGTTCAACCGGTCTAGATTGAACCGGACTAGGTAACGATTTCCAGTTGAACCGATCGATCCGGTCCGATTTTCAAAACAATGCTCTAAGGCGGCCATTAGTGTACCATTTAGGGGGGGCTTAGCAATTGCTCAGATTGCTCCCATCATCTGCCCGCCCGCAAACTACTCACCATATAAATATTGGATCATTATGACTTTAGATATAATTCTAAAAATTATTTTGTAAATCATATGATTTTATAGGACTTGATATAATTTAACCAAATGTTAAGGTATAAAATACTTTTAGGATTGAAGATCACTGTTTCTCCTATCTCAAATTGGCAGGTATGGAGTATGGACGGGTAAGCATGAGATGAGTGATGAGTATCCAGTTGGGTAGTAGGTGTGACGGGTGGATTTGAAAATGTATTCACGTGGATGAGTGTAAATTTAAAAACCTTGCCAGAGTATCCGCATCCGCCCTTTGCCATATCTACCACTAGATCACCATAACCTTCCTCAATTAATATATTTAAGTTTTATGATTTGAAATTATTCACAAATATATAAACAATATTTATATTTAAATCGGATACATATGTTATTTATAGGATTGGATTGAGAAGATAGGGTTACAATATATGGGATTGAGCAGGGTCTAGTATCTTTATCTGGGAGATAGTGAGTTGAGAATGTGTTTTAAATTTGAGGCCTACGTTCTGATGTTCGGGGCCATTACTACCAATTGCTGCTGCCAAGGGCTCCATACATGATCTCTTTTAGGATAGTAGTTAAATATTTAAGTTTATGATTTGAAATTCATTTAATACAAAATGGATTGTCAATGCACAACCATTTCATGGTCTAATTAAATTAGCCTTGCTTTTGATGATCAAGTTTCTATCGGGCGCATTCTTGGAATTCATAAATGGTAAGGAAACGCAGATTTTTTTTTCCTTTTGAACCAATCGAGAAAATAAAAATTTACTGGATTAAAATTTAAGCATAAATAATAAATATAATTTTTTTGACAGAATAGGAGATGATTAAGAAGGGCTGCTGCCATTGCCAACAATGTCCATAAACACCCGGTTGAGTGATGTCAAACGCATCCCTTCTTCTTGACCCCTTCCTCTTAAACAGCGGCTCAGCGGCGGAGATGGCCCCACAACCCAAGCCTCGTTAGAGCTGTCACTACTAAAATCGGCATCAATCACGCCACTAGGGCTGCTGCTAGGAAACGCCTCAAGCTTCCTCTTTTGGTTGCAATGGAAAGGAAAACTATTATCACCATACGCATTGTCTCGGTTTTTCGAGTCTCGTCGACACATCAAGAAACGAGCTTACAACAATCATTTACTTTATCCTAAAAAATCATTGTTGCAGTGGCCAATACAGAGGGGAAGTAAAGAACAGATCTTGAATCTTGGAACACACAGAACAGACCAAAATGATGAGGAAAAGAACACAAAAAAGGGTGTCTTGAAGTGAAGTAATAATGGAAGGATTAATTACCAGAGATTACAGAAAGGAGCAGACGCTCACATCTCTTGAGAAACTTCCAATGGAGATGGGTCTTTAAACCGAATCTCTCGTGATGTGATCGAGGAATGAAAGTGGAGTGATCGGATGCATCTTCCATTGAAGTGTTGAGAGTACCAAAAGCTCCATTCTTTGAATCGTTTTGGACTCAAAAACATATATTGTCCCTTCCACCTTAAAAGAAACAAAAATAAAAAAAAACATGTTCAATATGCATATGTATGTGCATGTATGGATCGATGGATGTATGGATGAGAAAACGTACTTGTAGGTCTAGAAGGAGGGGCACATGGGTCTCTTCAACTTTTGCAGCCAAAGAGAGACAAGTGACTGCTACTAGTTGGATCAACCAGGGCTTATCGCTTTGTAAACCGAAGATACTAAGGAATCTATCTAGATAGTTAACCGAAAGTACAGCCGTGAGAGCGGTGAACCCGTGGCTAGCATTGACGTTAAGCATCCACCCCACCGCCTCACGGTGGATCTCACGGCAGGTCACCGTTAAAAACTCATCTTCTTCCTTGAAAACAAGGAAAGTAGCTCGTCATCTTCCCAAAACAAGTCTTGCTCCAACAAGAGTGGGAAAAAGGAATGGGATCCGCCGTTGTTGGAAGAAGAAGAAGAACTCTCTTCTTCTTCCTCTGAAACACGAGCCACGCCATCTTCTTCACAGTAGAGAACATCAAGCAAGAAGGGAGGATATTTCTCTTGTTG